AGAGTATACAAGGTCTTGGGTCATTGGGGTCATTTTAAGCTTATCACATATCACACTGCTTATCTGTACTTTTCAGTTTCTTTTTAAATAATGCATATGGATTACTTATCAAAAAAGAAAAAGCACAATAAAATTATTTTTTTAAAAAAGCAAACCTTCTAATGGTCCTAGAACTAAACAAAAAAAAAAAAAAGAAAGAAAGAAAGAAAACAAAATATGTAAACCAGTCTCCCATTAGAAATACAAGTGCTGGCTGGGCGCGGTGGCTCACGCCTATAATCCTAGCACTCTGGGAGGCTGAGGCGGCAGATAGCTCGAGGTCAGGAGTTCGAAACCAGCCTGAGCAAGAGCAAGACCCTGTCTCTACTATAAATAGAAAGAAATTAATTGGCCAACTAATATATATAGAAAAACTTAGCCGGTATGGTGGCACATGCCTTGTTGTCCCAGCTACTCGGGAGGCTGAGGCAGGAGGATCTCTTGAGCCCAGGAGTTTGAGGTTGCTGTGAGCTAGGCTGATGCCACGGCACTCACTTTAGCCTGGGCAACAAAGTGAGACTCTGTCTCAAAAAAAAAATAATAAGAAGAAGAAATACAATGTGCTGGGCATAAGAGATATTTCTCTCATGGATCTTCACAGAAAGGATGTGTGTGATTTAGCCTTTGCTAAATCTCTACAGTAAAAACGCAGGAGTTCCTCAGGGCTGTTTCTTTTCTTTCTTTTCTTTTTTTTTTTTTTTGAGACAGAGTCTCACTGGGTTGCCCGGGCTAGAGTGACCTGGGCATCAGCCTAGCTCACAGCAACCTCAAACTCCTGGGCTCAAGCCATCCTCCTGCCTCAGTCTCCTGAGCAGCTGGAACTATAGGCATGCACCACCATGCCTGGCTAATTTTTTATATATTTTTAGTTGACCAATCAATTTCTATTTTTAGTAGAGACAAGAGTCTTGCTCTTGCTCACGCTGGGTCTTGAGCTCCTGACCTTGAGTGATCCTCTCGCCTTGGCCTCCAGAGTGCTAGGATTACAGGCGTGAGCCACCTCGCCCAGCCTGGGCTGTTTCTTAATAACATCCTCCGCCCAGGAGGCTGGCTTCATGTCAATATGCAGCAAAAGCAGCCAAAAATACAGTAGTTCTATTTTTGGCAAAGGTGCCACCCACAATCTGGAACTCACATTCAGTATCTAGGGTGAGTTGTTTTAATCTGGGATTCATAGATGTGCTTTGGATAGGTCTTTCTGTGAACCTCATAAAACTATATGCTAAATTCTGTGCATCTGTGCATTTCTTTGAGGAGAGGGTTTGCTGGTTTTATCAGATTCTCATTAGAATGTTTTCAACTCCAAAATAATCACTATTCTAGAGCAGGGTTTCTTTGTCTTGGCACCATTGACACTTTGACCTGGACAATCTTTGTTGTAGAGTTTGTCCTGAGAATTGTAGAATGTTTAACAGCCTCCTTGGCTTTTAGCTGTATGAGGACAGGAGGATCCTGCAGTTATGACAAGAAAAACAGTCTCCAGAGATTGCCAAATGTCCCCTGTAGGGCAGGGACCATTCTTTGAGAATGACTGCTGTTGTGGAAGAGTGGAGGAACAAATCGTAAATCAGGTGAGATGTGGATTAAACCAGTGATACTAGATGCAATTGCAGCTCTACCAATTATGATCTTGGGTAAATTACCTCATTTCAGCCTTATCCAGTTTCCTCAGGTATAAACTAAGGATATAACATCTACCCAAATAGGGCTTTGAAAAAGATCAAAAGAGGCCGGGCACCCTGGCTCACGCCTGTAATCCTAGCACTCTGGGAGGCCAGGTCAGGCGGATTGCTCGAGGTCAGGAGTTCAAAACAGCCTGAGCAAGAGTGAGACCCCGTCTCTACTATAAATAGAAATTAATTGGCCACTAATATATATAGAAAAAATTACCGGGCATGGTGTGGCGCATGCTGTAGTCCCAGCTACTCGGAGGCTGAGGCAGGAGGATTGCTTGACCCAGGAGTTTGAGGTTGCTGTGAGCTAGGCTGATGCCATGGCACTCTAGCCTGGGCAACAAAGTGAGACTGTGTTCTCAAAAAAAAAAAAAAAAAGATCAAAAGAAATAAAATGCAAAGCACTTTTCGGAGTGCCATATATGGTAAGCACTCAATATATGGTACCTACTAATACTGTTGGCCATAAGTATTTCTTCAACTCCTTTACTTATTCATTCAACAGTTATTTATTAACTGGTGTCTGTGTGTCAGTCTTAACAAGCTCTACCTATTCCTCCTCCAACCCTTATCTGGTAGGGACTATAAGCACCTGTGTTTATTTTTTGTGAATAGTATTTTTTTTTTTTTTTTGAGACAGAATCTCACTCTGTTGCCCAGGTAGAGTGAGTGCTGTGGCATCAGCCTAGCTACAGCAACCTCAATTCCTGGGCTCAAGCAATCCTTCTGCCTCAGCTCTCGAGTAGCTGGGACTACAGGCATGAGCCCACGCCTGGCTAATTTTTCTAATATTTTTAGTTTGGCCAATTAATTTCTTCTATTTTAGTAGAGACAGGGTCTTGCTCTTGCTCAGGCTGGTTTCATACTCCTGACCTTAAGCGATCCTCCCGCCTTTTTTTGTGAATAGTATTTTTAATACCAGTATAAACTCCATCATATCTATTTTTATTCCTGGCCCTGACCTCCCTTCTGAGATCCAGACCCACATATCTACCTGGATGTCCTCCAGGAGCATTAAATTTGGCATGTTTGGCCATTTAGCCCACTGCCTAGCACCTAGTGAGTCTTTCCATAAAAATGAGCTATTCCTGGTCCATCGATGCTATTTTTTAGCCCTGCTGTCTGATTCACCTCGTTTTGCTACTCCTCAGTGGGTTCCCAGAGTCACTTATTTTCTGTCAGCAGCGCTTGGCTCTGGGTTAAGGCTTGATTTGTCATCCTGTGGGAGGCCAGAGGAGAATCCATGTTGGTTCTCCCACCGTAGGGAGACTGAAGCAATGAAAATGGACACCCACGGGCAGGCCCACACTGCCCTAAACAATCAGTTTGGTGGAGAGAATTTGCTAGTAGTATGCAGGCCATAAAGTTCCCACAGTAGCTCCACCTCACTGGGTGTGCCAGCAAATGATCCCTGGGGCTTGGCTGGTGCTTCCTGGCACTGCAGGGGCTTGTGCAAAAGAGCTCGATTTAGTTATTAGTACAGTTATTGCAACAGTGTCTGCTGAGTGCTCCAGAACTGTAATTCACTTCTTGGGAATGCAATAGGGAGAATTGGAAAGCCACAACCAGAGATCAGGGCAGCACAGTGGTAATACCAGTAAGCTCTGGGTGGGACAGACCTGGGTTCAAGTCCTAACTTGCTTCTCTTGCTCTGGGTTATAGCCGGCAAGAGGCTCTATCATGCTGAGTCTCCGTTGGGTGGGGGTGATGCTAACCATAGTTAACACTAACACATGAAATTGCCTGTATTTGCCCATTAAGAGCTACTTAAAATACAGAATTTATTAGTTTTTAAATATAGAAAGGTATCATTCCCCACTCAATATAACACTTGCTGGCATTAAAAAATAAATAATCACCTAATATGGTTGGAAATGCAAATCATACATACATTACAAAATGAAAAATGCTTTCATTGTCCCATCCTCCTTGATCTACAAATACAGCAATTTCACAGGATTCAACTTAGTGTCAGCCCCATTCTAAAGCCTTCTATGGCCGGGCGCGGTGCCTGTATCCTAGCACTCGGGAGGCCAAGGCGGGTGGATTGCTGGAGGTCAGGAGTTCAAAACCAGCCTGAGCAAGAGCAAGACCCATCTCTACTATAAATGAAAGAAATTAATTGGCCAACTAATATAGAGAAAAAATAGCCGAGCATGCTGGCGCATGCCTGTAGTCCCAGCTACTTGGAGGCTGAGACAGGAGGATCGCTTGAACCCAGGAGTTTGAGGTTGCTGTGAGCTAGGCTGACGCCACAGCACTCACTCTAGCCTGGGCAACAAAGTGAGACTCTTGTCTCAAAAAAAAAAAAAAAAAAAAAAAAAAAGAAAAGTAGTCTTCTATGTATTCAACATGCCTAAATTTTTCAAAAACCCCATGACGTAGGTACAATCATTAACAATAATTCTCCTAAACAGCAGCAGAAAGATCTGGCGGGAAAGTGCCAACTTAACAGGCCTCACAAAGTGTTTTAAAAGTTTGGGAAACACAGAGGTCAGTATATGCAATATTTATTTTTTTTTGAGACAGAATCTCACTTTGTTGCCCAGGCTAGAGTGAGTGCCATGTCAGCCTAGCTCACAGCAACCTCAATCTCCTGGGCTCAAGCGATCCTCCTGCCTCAGCCTCCAGAGTAGCTGGGACTACAGGCATGCGCCACCATGCCTGGCTAATTTTTTGTGTATATATTTTTAGTTGGTCAATTAATTTCTGTCTATTTATAGTAGAGACGGGGTCTCACTCTCGCTCAGGCTGGTTTCGAACTCCTGACCTCGAGCAATCCGCCCGCCTCAGCCTCCCAGACTGCTAGGATTACAGGCGTGAGCCACCGAGCCCGGCCTCAGTATGTGCAATTGATTCAGTGCCAAACATGAATATCCGCCAGATGTCTGAAACGCGATCCCCTGTGGCGCCACTAGGTCCGAAGGGCACCTCCTCACTGGACCAGAGAGGGACCCAATTCCCGCGTACCGGGAACAGCATCTACGTGGACCCGGGAAAGGCGCGCCGGGCTCCGCCACGTCAACCAGTCCTGCTAGAGTAGGTGTATCCTTACGAACAAAAGCGTTCGGAGTGACTGCCGCTATAGCCACTCAACGCCCAGCCCAGGCCCGCGCGTCCAGTCAGAGCGGAACTTCTAATTGGCGGAGTCAATCTGAAGGAGGTGGGACATAGCGGGAAAGGCCTGCCTCCCTGACACTCTCAGCCTATCGGGGCGTCTGAGATGCAGCCGCCGGGTTAGGTTGCACTGCGTGTGGGGACTTGGGAGGCCTGAGGGCGGGGCGGGGACGCTTCCCGCGGGTGCGCGGAGCGAGGACGGTGACAGCCACGCGCGCGCGTGCGCGTCTGCCTGCCGCGCGACCCCGCGACTGCCGTCGGCCGCTGCCGTCTAGGGTTCTAGTCTCCGGGCGTCCCCGGCGGCCCCCGCCCGAGTCCCGGAGAGCCACGTCGCGTCCTCCCCGTCGGTCCCAGCTCGCGTCCCCTACCCGCCACCGTCAGGGCCTGTCCCCGAACTCCCCTTTCCGCCCGGGGCAGGGTCCTCGCGGCCCATGCTGGCCACTGGGGACCAGCGCAGCGCAGACCGCTCCCAGGCCGGCCGGCCGGCCACCATGGTGGCCCTGAGGCCCGTGCGGCTCCTCCAGGGGGGCTAACAGGCCCAGAGCGCAGGCCGTGGGGCGCGAGCGTCCCGGGCCTGAGCCCCGCGCCATGGCCGGGGCCATCGCTTCCCGCATGAGCTTCAGCTCGCTCAAGAGGAAGCAGCCCAAGACGTTCACCGTGCGGATCGTCACCATGGACGCCGAGATGGAGTTCAATTGCGAGGTAACCGGCGGGCGCCCCGACGGGCTCCGGCGCGGATCCCGGGGGATCCCCGCTGTGGGGCCTGGCGCGCGTCTGACAGGGACGGGGCGCCCTCGCCGCGGTGACAGTCGTGGTGGAAGCTTGAAGGATTCAGCTTATATCATCTTTGGGGCTTAGATGGAGACGGACAAAACTGGAGGGGGCCATCTAGGCCCCAAAAAATCGTGTTAAAGATTATTGCTGCTTTTTTTCCCTAGGTCTTTTGGGTTTCGCATTTCCTGAACGTTGTTTTCATTCATTGTTGTTGGAAGGGGCTGGCAGCTTCCCTGGTTGCAAAGTCTGGATTTCAGAGTCAGGCTTAAGCTTAAACTCTAGGGAGTTTTTGTGGTTGTTATTTTGTTGTTATTATTATTTTTTTTTACTTCGTTAGGTAATATTGTTGTGTACCCAGGTATTAAAAGTTGCATCTTGTTTGTTGGAAAGCCTATACTAGTTTCCCTTTTCCAAAGCTTATACATTCTGGAAAAAACTCTGAGAAAAGAGGCGATGATGTCTTATACTTTACATAGTGTTTCCATCATGATGATAAGAGTTATCATTTGTTGAATACTTTCTAAGTGCCAGACATTTGCACATTTAATCCGTACAACAATTCAATGAGGTAGGTACCCGGAACTGTATAGCCAGTAAATGGCAAAGTGGGGTTTTGAACTGAGCTAATAGCCAATACAGTACTGCTTCTCAAGTAATATAAGTTCTTGCTACTCAGAGTGTGGTTTGTGGACCAGCAGCATTGGCAACAGTAACCTAAATCAGAGGTTGGCATACTTTTCCTGTGCTGGGCAATGTAGTAAATATTTTTAGCTTTGCAGGCTAGAGGGTTTCTGTTGGAACTACTCAAGTCTTTAACATTGTAACACAAAAGCAGCCTTAGACACGATGGACTTCCAGCATTACAGTGTGAGGAGCCCTGCTGATCTGTTCCCCTGTAAAATTAGTGGAAATTATTTTTAAAAATGCAACTCTTGGATGCTGGGCATGGTGGCTCACACCGGTAATCCTAGCACTCTGGAATGCTGAGACTGGAGGATTGCTTGAGATCAGGAGTTCAAGACCAGCCTGAGCAAGAGGGAGACCCTGTCTCTACTAAAAATAGAAAGAAATTAACCAGACAACTAAAAATAGAAAAATCAGCGGGGTGTAGTGGTGAGCGCCTATAGTCCTAGGTACACGGGAGGCTGAGGCAGAAGGATTGCTTGAGCCCAGGAGTTTGAGGTTGCTGTGAGCCAGGCTGATGCCATGGTACTCTAGCCCAGGCAAGAGAGAGAGACTCTTACCTAAAAAAAAAAAAAAAAAAAAAAAAAAAGGCCTGGCGTGTTGGCTCACGCCTGTAATCCTAGCACTCTGGGAGGCTGAAGGGGGCGGATTGCTCTGAGGTCAGGAGTTCTAAACCAGCCTGAGCGAGACCCCCCGTCTCTATTAAAAATAGAAAGAATTTAATCGACCAACTAAAAATATATATACAAAAAATTAGCCGGGCATGGTGGTGCATGCCTGTAGTCCCAGCTACTCGGCAGGCTGAGGCAGTAGGATGGCTTGAGCCCAGGAGTTTGAGGTTGTTGTGAGCTAGGCTGATGCCACGGCACACACTCTAGCTTGGGCAACAAAGTGAGACTCCGTCTCAAAAAAGAAAAAGCAACTCTTGGCCAGGCATGGTGGCTCACACCTGTAATCCCAGCACTTTGGAAGGTGGTTTGGAATCCCAGCACTTTGGGAAGTGGGGATGGGAGAATTGCTTGAGGCCAGGAGTTTGAGATCAGCCTGGGCAACATAGTGAGACCCCTATCTCTACAAAAAATTTAAAAAGTTAGCTAGGTGTAGTGGCGCATGTCTGTAGTCCTAGCTACTTGAGAGGCTAAGGCAAGACGAATTGAGCCCAGGACTTTGAGGCTGCAGTCAGCTATGATCGTGCCTGTGCATAGCCACTGCACTCTAGCCTGGGCAACAGTGAGACCCCCCCATCTCAAAAAAAAAAAGCAACTATTTAAACCCTTTAGAAATAGTGGTAATGGCAAACAATAAATGAAGAAACATCTATTCAAATCTATGAAAATTCAGTAAGGCAAGAATATGGTATTTGAACCAGAACCATTCCTTCCTTCTGGCTCCCAACTCAGCGAGGTGGAGATTACACTCCAGACTGCTGCAGCCCTTAAGACAGGGTACCCTCTCCCCCATCTTCCAGTCAGAGGGCTTTCTTCCCAGGAGGAGCAGTACTTCAACATTTCTCATCCTACCCAGAGCTACTTGTTGCTGGGGCTAAGTCGTGTGTGAGTGTACTTGAAAGACGGGGCTCCCTTCTTCCATCTGGTGCCTACTCGTGCAATAGGGCTGCACCTTGGCATGGCACACTGAGATTACTGAGGCCCCAGTTCTTGCTCTAGCCCTGGCTTATTGGTGGTGGTTCCATGGCAGGAGAGGCAAGATGAGACTTCAGGTTATTGTGTCCCCCTGCTCCTTCCCAGCAAGTGCTCGGTCCCCAGAGTGAGAGTATCTCTCAGAGAGGAGCTGCCATGATTCCCTCCTCCAGCTCCAGAGCCCTGCCTCGGAGATTTTGCCTGAGAGAAACAGGTCTTAAAACAGATAGCTCCTAATTTCTTGCCAATGGAAGTGACTTCATTTGTAACACAGTGTTGGAGAAGTTCATGCCTAAGGGTACCCTTGAGAACAGTGGAGGTTTGGGTAAGAGGCAACTGGGAGATTTATTGATTTAATAAATATACAACCTAGACTGTAGGCCTCCTAGTTTATTGGAAGGAAGTGGGAAATAAGACAACTGGGAGGAGGCCTCCTGGGGTCAGAACAAATCTCAAACATTGACCTTAGACCTCTGGGGTGATGGATGTCCTCATTGCTCTGGTTCCACCATTAAATATTTTATGCATGTGTCAAAATACCAAGGTACTCCCAAAATATGTACAACTGTTATGAATCAATAAAAAACAATTTTTAAAAAGTATGTGGCAAAGCTGGAAAAAACATGATTTTCTTAAAACAGCCACAATTTAATTGAATGAGTTTGTAGAACAAGAATAAGTTATGCCTCAGAGCATTGTTGAAAATAATTGAAAAATAAGTGCCAATTAGTGGAGTTTAACAACTGAGTGTGCTCAAGGAAAGAGAGGAAGACAGCCCTATCAAAGCCACTGTCATCCCAGGATGACTGTGGGCATACTCAAGGCTGCGCCTCTCTGAGGAGCAACATCATAGGCACAGTGTGGGAAGTAGGTTTCGCTAAAATTATTCAGCTGGTCACTAAACAAATAAATAAGTCCTGGAGAGAGGGAGACCAGTCCTCAGAGTTGGTACAATGTATTATATTATCTAAAATGTTCAGTTTTCAACAAAAATTATGGGACATGCAAAGAAACATTAATGTATTATCCATACACTGGGGAAAAAGCTGGCAAAAGGAATTGCCTGTGAGAGTGACCAGCAGTCAGGTTTAACAAAAAATGCTTCAAACTAGCCATTATAAATATGTTCATAGAACTAAAGGAAAGCTTGATGACAAAGAATTTAAAAAAGGTATGGTGAGCTATTACATCAAGTAGAGAATATCAATAAGGAGATAGGAATTAAAAATAATCAAAATTCTGGAGTTGAAAGTACAATAACTGGCCAGGTGTGGTGGTTTATACCTATAATCCTAGCACTCTGGGAGGCTGAGGCAGGAGGATGACTTGAGCCCAGGAGTTTGAGGTTGCTGTGAGCTAGGCTGACGCCACAGCACTCTAGCCTGGGTAACAGTGCGAGACTCTGTCTCAAAAAAAACAAAAAAAGGATAAAAAGAAGTACAATAACCGAAATAAAAAATTCACTAGAGGCTGGGCGTGGTGGCTCATGCCTGTAATCCTAGCACTCTGGGAGGCTGAGGTGGGCGGATTGCTCGAGGTCAGGAGTTCGAAACCAGCTTGAGCAAGAGCGAGACCTCATCTCTACTAAAAATAGAAAGAAATTAATTGGCCAACTAAAAATATATAGAAAAAATTAGCCGGGCATGGTGGCGAATGCCTGTAGTCCCAGCTACTTGGGAGGCTGAGGCAGGAGGATTGCTTGAGCCAGGAGTTTGAGGTTGCTGTGAGCTAGACTGACGCCACGGCACTCACTCTAGCCTGGGCAATAAAGTGAGACTCTGTCTCAAAAAAAATAAATAAATAAAAACATATAGAAAAAATTAGCCAGGCATGGTGGCACATGCCTGTAGTCCCAGCTACTTGGGAAGCTGAGGCAGAAGAATTGCTTGAGCTCAGGAATTTGAGGTTGCTGTGAGTTAGACTGATGCCATGGCACTCTAGCCTGGGCAACAGAGTGAGACTGTATCTCAAAAAAAAAAAAAAAAATCCCCACATGAAATGAAGATTTTCCTAGATACACAAAAACTGAGACAATTTATTGCTCCAAGACCTGCCTTACAAGGGAAGTACTAAAGGAAATTCTTCAGGCTGAAAGCAAGTGGCCCCAGACAGTCATTTATTCATTTATTTAATATTAGAGATGGGGTTGCACTCTGTCGCCCAGGCTGGAGTGTACTAGCACCATTATAGCTCGAGCAATCCTCCCACCTCAGCCTCTCAATTAGCTAGGACTACAGGCACACAGTTCCACACACAATTGTGTAAATAATATGTATATAATGTACTACTGGGCTTGTAACTATATAGAAATGTAATATACGTGTAAGACATTTACCAACAATGGCACAATGGAGGTTGGTGGGAGCAAATCAGTAATGTACTAAGGAAATGACTACAGATGGTAAAATAATAACTTTAACAATGTATTATTGGGAATGTAAATTTAATAGATGTATATTTAATTTAATATATATAATAATATGAAAAAGGGAAAAATGGAATGGAGCTATGTAGGAGTAATGTTTCTGTGTATCACTGGAATTAAGCTTGTATAAAACTGAAGCTAACTCTGATTATATAGGTTTATATTATATTTATATATAT